TAAACTGTCTCACCAATTTCTTTTCTCACTTCTTCTTCCCTCCAGGAAGGATACTGTTGGGGGTTGGGCCTATTGGTAGGCTGGCTTTGTGCCAACCTGGTCACTCTGTCCATACATAGGTGAAGAGCCCAAGAATTCTAATTCTCCCTTTGGTGTGTGTGTGTGTGTGTGTGTGTGTGTGTGTGTGTGTGTATGTGTCCTTGTCAGTCCCTGGCCTCTGGCCTCTTGAAAGCCCTGACCTCAGCTTTCCCCTCCTCAGAAATGCCAGAGAAAAGAGATGAAGTTGGAGAAGGTGGCCTGTTTCTTCCCTAGTGGGCTGAGCCAGGCTTCCAATCCTCAAAGAACTGTTGCATTTCCAGAACTGGGTTTTCCTGAGAGAAGGCCATAGCGACCAGAGCAGTGTACTTGGAGTCAGCAGACTTGGTTGCAAATTTGGACACCACCACTTACTAGCTGCGTGACTTTAGGCAAGTCACTTTAGCTTTCTGAATTTATTACCTATCCACAGGGTGGCTGGCTTGAAATGAGTATGCCTAGACTTTGTTCCATTACACTCTCAAAAAAGAAAAAAAAAAAGAAAGAAAGAAGAAGGTAGCAGGAAGTATCTACTGACCCGGTTCCAGTGGAGATTCAGGGAAGGCCTCCCAGGACTGGCCCAGGCACCCTCCCAGGAGCCCGCATAGCCTCTCTGCTGCTGTTGCTTGCCTCTGCCCCCAGCCAACTCCCGGCATACCGCGGGCTTGGCGTGGCGCGCTCTTAGGGAGTTGTTGGAAAGCTCCGAATAATTCCAGAGGGTCAGTCACTCCCATTGACTATAACTTGCTTTTCAGACGAACCGGGCAAGCCCGCCTCTCCTCCTTGGGACTCCCTCCCCTCCCCCGTGTGACCCCCCACTCAGCCTCCTCCTTCCGGATGGGTAGCCGCCCCAAACCGCGCGGCTCCCCCCTGGCCACAGCCGCCCCCAGCCTGCGTCCTGCCCTGTGCGCCCCAGCTCACCCGGCTTTCGGGGCGCCCCAGGAGCTCCCCCTCGGGGGCGGCGCTTGGTGGCCACCCCCGGGGCTGGCGGCAGCGCCCGTAGCGGGGGGGGCCCGGCGACTAGCCCGCCCCCCCGCCCACGTGCATGAAGAGGAGCGAAGCGCTAGCTGTCGCCGCGCCCGCGCGAGCCACCGGTGGGTGCCTCACCTCGGAGGCTGGCGGGGGCCGTAACCCGAACCCCGCTGCCACGACCCACATTTGCATAACTCGGTCACCCCCCCCCCTCTTTTTGCGCACTCAGGGCTGGAGATGCGAGTCGGACTCCCCTCCGAGGCGTCGTCTTGCCGGTGGTCAGCGCGGGGGCCGCGGGACCGGCACAGATTCGAAAGGCGGAAACGCGATGGCGCACGTGGTAAGAGCGTAGTTTTCTTTACTTCTTTCTCTTATTTAGAAGCGGGACTCCCACGTTTTTTGCCAAGGGGAGCGGGGCTACTCACGAGGGTGCGATTTCCTTCCCTTCTCTTTATTTGTTTAAATCTCCCTAATAGAAAAAGAGCGCGCAGAACAAGCGAGACACTTTTTCCACATTCTCTCTGGGCGTTTGAAGTAAGGACTATGCCGTCCACCGGAGGACAGGTTTCGCGGCGGGCAGGCGGGGAAACGGCGCTCAGGTGGAGGAGCAGAAGCCGCTCCCGGCTCTCGTAGGCTCCGACCGACGCGGGGCCAGGCGGGAGCGGGCTTCCTGCGGGCCCGGCGCGGTCGCGGCAGGTGAGCGGCGGGAGAGCCGCCTGCAGCGCCCTTGTTCTTACACGGCGTGGCGCCCTGGCTCTCGCCCGCCCGAGCCCCACGAGGCTGGTGCGGTCCCGGACCGGGGGCAGGAAAGGGCCGGGCCCTGGAGGCTGCCCCCGCGCTCCATCCCAGACCTTGGCCGCATTGGGGCGGGAAGGGGCCAGGCAGGCGGCGATGCGCCCGGCTTGGGCACTTGGGACCAGCCTCCCGCGGGGCCCGGAGCGCTCACGGTGCGGGCCGGGGTGCTCCGGCAGGTAGGAGCCGTGCGTGCAGCGAGCCAGAAGCCCGCCGCTCTCTGGACCTCCGAAAAGTTTTTTAAAAAATTGCTTTGAGAACTAAACAGCAAGGTTTACCTTGGGGTCAGGTTTTTCTTTTATTTTTATCTCAAAGAGAAACGCGTGTGGGTGATAGTGGCTCCAAACTGGCCTTGGGGATGCGGTTGGCTTTCAGGACGTCTCTGGGCTCACCCAGGACGAGGAAAAGGAATAATATGCCTTCTGTGTATTCTGGAGTAGGGCATGTGCCGACAGGGCGCACCCCCGGAGTGTCGGGGTCGGGGGCTGCCGTGGCAGTGGGTCCGTACGTCCGTACAGGCAGTAAGGTGAGGATGGGTGTCTGTCTTCGAAGGGCACTCTGCCCAGCAAGCAAGCCCGGGCTCCAAGCTCTGCCGGCTGGGTACCCTATGGGCCAGGCTGGCGCACCG